GCAAACATTTGTAATGTACAATCCCTCGCTCACTTCCCTTGTTATTCCATTTCAGCACATACACACACTACTTGTGCACACAGAATAAAGAAAAGAATACTAAGAATCAAAACAAACTCTTTTCCTTTTATATGGTTACTCCATTTCTTAGAAGGGAGTAAACCCCCATGGTTAATTTCTCAGAACTCAGAGCAAATAAAAAACAGCACAGTGAAAACTCAAGCTCCAGGTCATGCCATAACCTTCATAATTACTTCATTGCTCAGAGGAGACATCTATGTACAATGAAATACATGAGATAGAAGAAAATAAGTGTGCTGACTGGCCACACCACTGTCTTTATTAAGTATCAGCCACTCCTGTATTCTGAAATAACACGCTATTGTCATGAATTGACATAAAGAATAGGAGCTGAGATGTCAAGAGCAATTTATATGCCAAAACTTAAGGATACCTTCATTGACTGAGATGACTGCATTCCTCCCTTCATCCTCATTCTCGGACACAAAAGTATGTTTTTAAAATAAGCCTTTCTATAAAAAGCTACAAATCCACACAAATACTAGAAACTATTTTTATTCAATGAGACAAACACTACTACTTGAAAGTCTAAGCAATGAAAAGTAATAATTCATGTATTTCACCACCAACTTTTTCTTAATGACTACTTATCTGTGGATTTAAGGTCTACATCCTGCTTCTTGTTCAATATAATCTTTCTGGCATTTCTCTAAAAGAGCCTGCTAGATGAGGGGGAAAGCTGCCTTATTCAGAGTTCCATACTGTAATAATTATGAAGTTTTCATACTTTCTAATTATGTATTTTTATAATTGGCAGAAAGTCATCAGATAATCTATAAAGCCTTCAATCTAAAACAAATTAAACTTTCAATTAAGCAAACACTTTGACTATGACAAAATTTCAATTAGAAAATTAATTTATGAATTAAAATCCAGGGTAGATAGTTCATTTCAAAAGTTCCTGGTAAATTTTACGTAACTATTTTAAAAGGTTAATGGACTGAGATAGCTATCATTTATGAGAGTATTCAGGTATTTGCACAGCTGTTTCCTTAGTTTTTAAAATTTATTTATTAAATGTTATATTTATTATTTATTACCATTTATTCACTTAGAATCTCAGCTGTCTCCTACCAATCCAACCCTCCCTCCCTCTTCTCCCCCTATGCTCCTCACCTGGTCCACTGATAGGAGAGGTCCACCTCCCCTTCTATCTGACCCTAGCCTATCAGGAATCATCAGTACTGGCTGAATTGTCTTCTTCTGTGACCTGGCAAATATTTTATGAAAGAAGGGGGAGATAGAAAGACCTGGAGGAGACAGGAACTCCAAAATATTTACTTATTTTTTATTTATTACAATTTCTGCACTTTGTATCCCAGCTGTAGCCCCATCCCTTATCCCCTCCCAATCCCACCACCACTCCCTCTTTTTGAGATCAGGGATGGAGATACCTCTCCATAAGATCTGTTATTGTACAGTATTGTTTTAGTAATTCTGGGTTTTTTGTTTTTCCATATGAAGTTGAGAATTATTCTTACAAATTTTGTCAACAACTGTGTTGGTATTTTGATGGGAACTGCATTGAATCTGTAGATTGCTTTGGGCAGGATGGCTACTTTTACTAAGTTAAACCTACTGATCCATAAGCAGGGGAGATATTTCCATTTTTTATATCTTCTATTTCTTTCTTCAGAGACTTGAAGTTTCTTTCAAACAGGTCTTTCACTTGCTTGGTTAGAGTTACACCAAGGTACTTTATGTTATTAGTGGCTATTGTGAAGGGTGTTTTTTCCCTAATTTCTTTCTCAGCCCTTTTGTCATTCGTATACAGGAAGGCTTCTGTTTTTCTTTTTTGTGTGTGTGGTTTTGTTTTTTTCGTTTTTTTTTTTTGTTTTTGTTTTTTTTTTTTTTTTTTTTTTTTTGAGTTAAGTCTGTATTCAGCCACTTGGCTGAAGGTGTTTATCAGCTGAAGGAGTTCTCTGGTTGAAATTTTTGGGATCCATCGTGTATACTATCATATCATCTGCAAATAGTGATACTTTGACTTCTTCTTTCCAATGTGTATCACCTTGATCTCCTTCAATTGGACTTCAAGTACTATGTTGAAGAGATATGGAAAGAGTGGGCAGCCTTGCCTCGTCCCTGATTTCAGTGGGATTGATTTAAGTTTCTCTCCGTTTAGTTTGATGTTGGCTAAAGGCTTGCTGTGTATTGCCTTTACTATGTGTAGGTACATGCCTTGTATCCCTGATCTTTCCAAGACTTTAAACATGAATGGGTGTTGGATTTTATCAAATGCTTTTTCGGCATCTAAGGAGATGATCATGTGGTTTTTCTCCTTCAGTTTGTTTTCATGGTGGACTACACTGATGGATTTCTGTATATTGAACCACTTGGTCATGGTGGATGATATCTTTTATGTGTTCTTGGATTTGGTTTGATTTATTGATGATTTTTGCATCAATGTTCATAAGAGAGGTCTGAAGTTCTCTTTTTGTTGGGTCATTTTGTGGTTTAAGTATCAAGGCTTCACAGAATGAGTTTGGTAATGTTCCTGCTATTTCTATTTTGTAGAATAATAGTCAGCCTTCTTTGCAGGACTTGTAGAATTCTGCACTGAAACCAACCCTCTCCCTGTTTTTTTTTTTTTTTTTTTTTTTAAGAGAGTTTTGGTGACTGCTTCTATTTCCTTAGGAGATACAGGACTATTTAGTCTATTTACCTGATCTTGATTTAATTTTGGTAAATGGAATCTATCAAGAAAATCATCCATTTCATTTAAATTTTGAAATTTGTGGCATATAAGCTTTTGTAATAAGACCTAATGATTGTTTTGATTTCCTCAGTGTCTGTTTGTTATATCCCCTTTTCATTTATGATTTTGCTGTTTTAGATCGTTTCTCTCTGCCTTTTAGTTATTTTGGCTAAGGTTTTGTCTATCTCTTTGGTTTTCTCGAACAACTAGCTCTTGGTCTTATTGTTTCCTTGAATTGTTAGTTTCTAATTGGTTTCATTAGTTTCAAATTACTTTCATTGATTTCAGCTCTGAGTTTGATTTTTTCCAATAGTCTACTCCTCTTGGTTGTGTCTGCTTCTTTTCTTCCCCTAGGTCTTTCAGGTGTGCTGTTAAGTTTCTTGTATGAGATGTCTCAAACTTTGTGGTATGAACTTTCCTTTTAGCACTGCTTTCATTGTGTCCTATAAGTTTGGTAAGTTGTGCACTCATTTTCATTGAATTTTAGGAATACTTTAATTTCTTTTTTTCATTTCTTCCCTGACCAAGCTGTCATTGTGTATAGAGTTGTTTATTTTCCATTTGCATGTAGACTTTTATTATTTCTGTTGTTGTTGAGCTTTGTTTGTTTCCTCTTTATGTGCCTCTAATAACTAGATAAGCATAGACTTGAGATCATTTTCCTGAGTTTCCAAAAACATAAATAACCATTGATTTTTGGTGTTGCTGGTGAAACCATAATGTCCTGATTTTCGTTGGCCTCTAGTCATCTGCTTATCGGTAACCTTCACTGTTTGTTCCTGGAGCCTGTACTGCAGACTGGGTCCGTCTGTCTATGGAGTCTGGAGTGTTCTTCAGGAAGACGAGAGAGGGCCATAGGTTTGAGAGTGGGTGTTGGTGTTTCAGTTGTGGCTCAGAAAGGAAGGCCGCAGGTGCATGTGTACAAGCACAGGAATGTGCGTGGAATTGTGCCTTGAAGGACTGGGTGCTAGTGCATGTAGATGCCTGGAAGGATGGCATGTACGTGTAGGTTGGGGTGCTGGTTCAGTCTTCGGGCACAGTGCATATGTGCAGGTGCCCTAAATGGCTCAGTGGTCCACAGGCCTGTTTAAGTATTGTGCTCCAAGTGCTCAAATCTGCCTGAGCTGCTCAAGGAATTGTTTCTAGGAATTCTTTGGCTGGACTCCAGTGAGAGACCCACAGAACAGGAGCTTCAATGTTGAGAACGCTGTCTCAGGGATCCCTATGTTACCCACAGTGGGTGTGTGGGTGGGAGGGATCCAATGTCTGGACCCTAGTGTAGAGGGACCCCGGAACTGTGGCTCTGTAAGCACTCACTTGAAGGTGCACCCACTCGCTGGCATAGGGGAATATAGGGGTGTCATCCCCCCATTCTCTACGCTCAGATTTGGGCCTACAGGGGCAAATAAAAGTGTAGGAGTTCAGTCAGTGGTGTCCACTGTTTTGCTTCTGCCTCTGGACAGGGAGGCCAGTACCGATGGAGCCTCTGCAGTCTCAGTCACAGAGCAGGGAGGCTTGAGTTTTGGGCAATGACAGCTGCTGCCATGTTAACCGGAAAGTGCAGATGGTCAAATGTTTGCCACTCTCAGACCCTGCAGACTTCCAAGGGTGACCTGGATCCAAACTTTCCCAGCTCACCGGTTGTCTGCTCTAACCCATGAACCCTAAACGTCGATGTTCTGGCTTCAGCTGCCCCTCCACTCACCAGTTTCGGAGTTTTGGATCCTGTGCCCCTAAGATACAATGCACATTGGTTACTATCATCTTGTTGACTCTGCATATCTGTTTTCATTGCAGCATTATTCAGAATGGCCAAAAGATATACACTAACCAAGGGTTCACAGATGAACAAATGGATACACAAAACATCATAGATGGACACTTAATCGGGAATGTTTTTCGGCTTTAAAAGGGGAAAAAAATTGACATATACTAGCCCACAAATAATCCATGAAGACATTATGCTTAGTCAAATAAGCCAGCCATGTGATGAGATAAATGTCACCACAGCATTTTTTATATAATAATACATAGCAATAATACTTTATAAGAGCAGGTATCTGGATACCAAAAAGGGGAAATCTAACAAGAAATGAGAGAGGAATGTCAAAACTCTAATAAATTAAAAGGCGGTAAATGTATTACGTTCAAGTATCATAGGGCAGGTTTTTTTTTTTTTTTTTTGGTAAGGAGAAGTAAAGGAAACAAAATTGGTCTTCACCTGGTAAGTGTGTACTCCCTGAGTCCTGAATGCAAATTCATGGCAGAAAAAGTCCCTATGCATCCACGCAATCTTTTGTCTCGACCAATCTTCCATGTTACAAACAGTGGGCTGTAATGGAACATAAAACAGGGTAAATCAGTCAATTCAATAAAGGTAGCATTTATTGAATATTTGCCATATGCTAGGTTAGGTACCTAAGACATAAAAATCAAAGGCCAAGCCCTCAAGCAGCTCAAGCTTTAGCTTAGTTATAGATTGCTTTGTGAACTGTGTTGAGTGCCTTTGTATGCTAGGTACCAAAATGAACATTTTAACAAAGTATGTATGATAATCCTCATCAACAGTTCTTGGCTGCTGATATTAAGTTCCTGCAAACAGACCAAACATAGTAAAATATATTCTCAAACTTGGTAATGTTGAATACAGAGCTTTAAATCATCACAGATATCTGCAGGATTCCCCATTTAAACTTGGTATCACTGACTGATTTGTAATTCTGACTTAGAAAATTGGGAGGAGGTAATCAACAACTTCATCAAATACCTTTTCTGAAAACATTGGGGCTACAAAAGATTAAAAGGCAGTCACTGGTTTGTAGGAAAGCAGCACAAAGGCAGACACATTCCCAGCTAACTAACATGAGGCAGATGAAAACAAGCACTATATACCATGCCCAAAATGCCATAAATTAACCTGTAGAGATAGAAAAACATTTCATCGGGCATGATGGGGCTTCAGTTTGTCCCAGGAAAATAAGGATGGTCCAACAGGTGAAGTGTGGCTGCAAACATTAACCAGCAAATACCCTTAAACCAGAAATTTTAATTTTTACACAAAAGGTTTTATATAATATGTGGTAGACAAAATGTTGATGAGTATGGTAAACAATTGGGTTCTGCAGGAAACCAATGGCAGTTTCAATTAATGATTACGTCTGAAAACAATTATGTTCAAGTTAGAAATAACTTTATACAATTTGTACACTTTAGGACATTTTGCAAAAATTTAAATACAGCACAGGTAAGGTGCTCTTTATTACTATGAATATTCACAGTAATAGTGGTATAACATTCTGATTTCTAAAATATTTAAACGTGGGGGAAATATATCATATTTGATCTATTTCTCATTATTCATTAGTGAGTTAAAGAACATTTTCTCTTTAAATGATCTTTAAAGATCATTTCTATAGTTTATTACTAGAAAAATGTTCTTATGAGGCCAGGCAGTGGTGGCACACACCTTTAATCCCAGGCCTTAGGAGGCAGAAACAGGCAGATCTCTGAGTTTGAGGTCAGCCTGTCTACAGAGCAAGTTCCAGGGCAGCCAAGGCTATGCAGAGAAACCATGTCTTGAAAAACTAACCAAACAAACAAAAACAAAAACAAAAAGAAAGCTTCAGTATCTTCATGACACAGGGCAACAGGATATTTGAAAGAAGTTCTGGTAAAAATCCAGTATTGAAAATGTAGCAAAGCCATCTAAAGAAACTAATCAAGAGAGAGGACCCTGACTAAAATGCTCAATCCCCATCCCGAAAGGCAAAAAGGAAGGCTATCAGAGGAGGAAGAAAACAGGAAACAGGCTGGGAATATGCCACAGAGGGCCTCTAAAAGGCTTTGCCCTGCAGACTATCAAAGCAGGCACTGAGACTTATGGCCAACTGTTGGGCAGGGTGCATGGAATCTTATGTAAGAAGTGGGAAATAGTAAGATCTGGAGAGGACAGGAACTCCACAAGGAGAGCAACAGAACCAGAAATTTGAACACAGGGGTCTTCCCAGAGACTCATACTCCAACCAAGTACCATGCATGGAGATAACCTAGAACCCCTTCACAGGTGTAGCCCATGGCAGTTTAGTGTCCAAGTGGATTACATAGTAATGGGAAGAGGGACTGCCTCTGACATAATCTGATTGGCCTGCTCTTTGATCACCTCCCTCTGAGGGGGGAGCAGCCTTACCAGGCCACAGAAGATGACAATGCAGCCAATTTTGATGAGAACTGATAGACTAAGATCAGAAGGAAGGCGAAGTCCTCCCCTATCAGTGGACTTGGGGAGGGGTATGGGTGAAGAAGGGGGAGAGAGGGTGGGATCGGGAGGGGAGGAGGGAGGGGCTTATGGGGGGATACAAAGTGAATAAAGTGTAATTAATAAAATTTAAAAAAATTAAAAAAAAGAAAATGTAGCAAAGCCAGAATCCACAAACCAGACCAATGACTCACTGCAATGAACACTTGCAAGTAAAGAAGTGTGGATAAAAGGGTATACTGTGGGACACACTGCAGCTTCCACAATGTGATTTGATTGTTTTTCTATTTTTGTGTTGTTTTTTTTTGTGGGGAAGGTTGCAAGGGTGGAGGGTTGAAACAAAGGAATGGGGTGCATGATGTGAAATTCACCAAAAAAAAAAAAATCAATAAAAATTTGGGAGACAAGACAGTCAGTTAATGCAGGTTAATCATCCACCTCAAACATTTAAATTATTACAAGTTTTGACTGATAGACACAATGGCAGACTGGGTCCCAAAGAAAACACCACCAGACAAACCAGGGCTCACTATGAAAAGTTCCCTTTCTCCACAAACTCAGTGTTCAATAGTACTAAAAATATTACAGCAGTATCTAGGCAAAGGTGGCATTCAGTCACTGGATGACCTACACTAAAGGTAATAAAGGAAACAAAACAAAAATGACAGCCCAAATAATCTGCTTTCAAGATGTTCCGTGCTAAATATAATCAAACATTTGAAAATTTTCTTCTAAATTCTTTTGATTTGCAGCTTATAAGAAGACAAGAATTAGATGGGGTTACACTATCACCAACTTTTTAATTACTCAGAAAAACACTAGTATCATAAGATTTATACATTGTTTGTTTGTTTGTTTTTCTAGACAGGGTTCCTCTGTGTAGCCTTGAATGTCCTGGACTTGCTTTGAAGACCAGGCTGGGCTCAAACTCATAGACATATGCCTGCCTCTGCTTTCCCAAGTGCTGGGATTACAGGTTGGCACCACTGCGCCTGGATGATTATGAATTCTTTAAGATAAATTTAACCTCTTTAATCTTCTATTTTCCAACTTGGTGTAGTCCATATCTACATCCACTCCTATACAATAAGATCATCCATCTTCTCTCGTCACATTGAATAGACAACATCCCTACATAAGAGAGGTCCTGACAGCTTTGACAGCTTCAGATCCTGTAATACATATAAAGCCATGTTTTCAATGTACCTTGTTGAATCTTCAATAATAAAGACCTAACTACATTGTATATTCTTATCACCAGTGATTTAAGAAACCAAAAAGTGACAGTAAATTTGTTTCTTCCAAAACACATTAAATGGAAAGCATTTAAAAGTGATATACCTTCAATTATTTATCCCACTAGAATACATACATATGTCATTCTTATTATAATCACATCTTCTTCAGGCAATATTTAAAATATAAAGGTAAATAGAAGAACTACACATACTGAACACTATATATTAAACTATGAAATATAGTAGAAGGAATTCAACCACATGGTAGGTGAAATTACATGTGGTATCTTATAATGCTATGCTCACTCTTTGGAAAATTGTTAATATATGGCTAAGGGTGCTACAAGATTGCATTTTTGCAAGACATCCTGGGAAGCAAAGGATACTCAGAACATGGGGATGTAAAACTGCACAGGAGACTGGTAGTCTGACACCAGCCTTTAGAACTTGCTGTGGTCTCTTCCAGATTGAGCATTCTTTGAATTTTTGGCATTATTGAGTATATGTTGTTAAGAGTCCTCATAAAAGGTAAATTATCTGTTATTTCTTATTTCTTACCTGCCCTAGGCAATATCTACTTTGTGAGTTAAGACTGCAGTAAAGCATCTGTCAAAAACGATAGGGAATGTGAACCCTACTAAGTTAAAGATATATGTTTGAAGATATAAGAATTCAGACTTTTAGTAAACAAAAAATAAACAAAAAAACAAAAACAAAAACAAAAAAAAAACCTTTCCTTAAACGTCTGGGTCTCTGATTTATCACTTACAAATGCACATCCAGTACCCTTTATCTTGAAAATAGTGTTCACAGACTTAAAAATAAGGTGTCTAAAATCATCTTTAATGGGAAAAAATAATCAAGGCAGATAAGCATTTTAAAATAGATTGATACGAAACAAACCATGGAGCCCAAAAGATAGCATCATTGACATAACAATGACTCTGTACAGGCCAATGGCTACAATGCCTACAGGATTATCTAAAAATATCAACAACATGTTTTCACACCAAACAGAGGGAAAGAACTGGAGATTTCATTCTTGAGTATAATATCAAAACATGCATGAGTTCACCAAAGTATGTAAGCTAAGCCATCGGCATAAGCAGAATCAGATCAAAGGGAAAGCCTCTGCTGAGAGGAGCTATTCAAATAACAAGGAAATAAGGAAAAAAGTTCATAGTAAGACAGAGATTGAATATTTTTGGAAAATGCTTTATGCCATATGGTTTAAGGCCACCTACATACATTCAAAAAATACTACAAGCTACAAAAAGACTCAAAATGAGCTAAAATATTAAGGGAAATATTTATCTGAGGATAATCAGATGTAGCCTTTAAAGGAATTATCCTACTTGTGAACATTTCATACCAGTATGTTCTGAAAAATCTTTGGAGAAAAGTAAACCCAATTTTTCCCAAGCCTGTACATAGAAACAGGAAGAAACCACCTAATCTAGGTGAATCCTCTTGCCAACTGGCAGCCAATACTATCAGGTCAGAAGTGGCCCTCTGCAATGTAGCTATTATGGAACAATAATGATACAAAGAGCAATATAAATCTGCACAGGATTCTCTTAGTACAAATTTTATGCCAATTCCAATGCCCTCTTCTGAAATGGTCTATTGATTTAAGCCACAATACATTAGAAATGTGTTTGTAGGACTGGAGTACGATTACTTGAGACAATGAGAAAGATGTATTTACTTAACAATACTATAGCTCAAAGCCTACCTCTCCTTCTGAAACAACAGAAAATGAGAAGTTAAAAATATGCAGTCCATGTTGAGCTCTCACTTCTCTTGTTTAGAATGAAGCTTACAGGCAGTAACAACACA